AGCTTAAATTGTAAAAACAGAAGCTTAAATTGGCAAAACAGGGGCTAAAATTAGTAAAACTAATTAAAATTAGAAAAACAAAAACCAAAATTAGCAAAACAGAAGTTAAAAATAGTAAAACTAAAGATAAAATGAGCAAAACAGAAGCTAAAAGAGCAAAGCAGAAGCTAAGATTAGTAAAACTATAGCCCAAGTTTAACAAAACTGTAAAAAAAAATAAAAATAAAAAAGCAGCAGGCTAAAATTATTAAAAGCAAAATTAAAACGAAAAGCCTAAAAAAAAAACAACTTTTACTGCTTGAGTTTGCATGTTCTCTCCGTGCATGCGTGGGTTTTCTCCGGGTACTCCAGCTTCCTCCCACAGACCAACAACATGGCTGTCAGGTTAACTGGTAACTCTAAACTGTCCCTAGATGAGAGTGAGTGGTTGTGTGTCCCTGTGTGTCCCTGTGATGGTGACACCTGTCCAGGGTGACCCCGCCCCTCAGTGACCCTGACAGGAAGAAGCAGGTATAGATGATGGATGGATAAAATTAGCAATAAGGTAGTTGCAACGTTAAATTAGCACAACAGTAGCTTAAAGCTAAATTTAGCAAAACTGTAGCAAAAAAAAAAAAAACCTAAAATTTGTTAAACAGCAGCAACAAGCTAAATTGATGAAAACTAGCTAAAAGCCTAAATTAATAAAACTGTGGGTAAAATAAAAATCAGCAGAAACAGCTGAAAGCTAAAATGTGCAGAATAGTAGCATGAATAGTTTTGATATGTTAATGTATTATTATAGAAAAACATTTAAAGAAAAATCATCAGTTTAATGTCTGAAATGAAGAAAATGTCATTATTTACTGTATAAAACAATGTTTTAATGTTGGGCTATGATGTCATGTACTCTATTGTAGGGGTAACCCTGGTGAAAAAAAACTTTATTATTATTATTATTATATTTATTCAGACTTTCTAATAAACTCAGTAAAAATCAGAAATAAATAAAATCCTAACAGGTGTATTCGTCTGCTGAGACGACAGCTGATATCTGAGCTGTGGCTGTGTTCTGATGRCAGCTTGGATCTTTGTGAAAACCAACATCTGAACATCCTCAGGTGACACAAAATCTGGACCTAAGTCCTCGGTCCTGATCCTGCTGTCACAGCAGAGGTTTTAATCTCATGACAGAAAGATCCCGCACTCAGGAGCAGATTAATTTACAAAATGGACTTTACCGTCGCATTATCATCTCAATCCTCCAAATGGACAAATATAAAAGCAATAAATGAATGTAGGAACGGTCATTTCTGACGTTAGTCTGAACATTTTCAGGGTTGGTCTTCATCTGAGGACTCAGAAGGACCGATGAGGGGGACATGTTGACAGGAGACCACGGACAGAGGAGACAGTTTCATCTTAAAGTCCAACAACAACAACAGGGTTTAACAACAAAACTGTTCACGTGACTTCACTTTGAACACATCAGGTTTACTGAAAGCAGAAAAAACAGAAAAATAAGTAGAAAAAAATAAAAATGTGTCAGAAAAACTGAATAGAATCGTTAAAAGAGCAGAAACAAGTTGGATTTAAAAAAAATTGTATAGGTCCTCTGGACGGGTTCTTCTCTAATGAAACGTTTCGTCTCTCCTCCAAGAGACTTCTTCAGTCTGAGAGTTTCAGGCTAAATTCAGGCTTTTAAGTCCTGCCTCCATGTGAGAGCAATATTGTATATGCTGTTAAGTGCCAGGAGGACTGCGACCAGTTATAC